AATTCATGATGGAGAAGGACTCTATGAATCTCAAAATATTAATGTTCGCATTTCAATTATGGAGCTGGTTGCCAATCGAGTTCCCACTTGATCACTGACCTGTCAGTGATTCCTACGAGTCAGCCACATACAGTCAGAACTCTTCCATCTATGACAACAATGCTGTTGTTGACATCTTACGGTTCATCTTCCTGGGTTGTAAAGTTTACTGAGACGTAAAAAAGAATAAGTATAATGGAATGGGAGTCACCGCTCCATGGTTCGAAGAAGAAACTACCGGAGAAGAGGCTGCATTACAGGATTCCACAGAGGAAAACTCTGATCAGAGCCAAGCCTCACAGAACAGTCAGCTGAAACCTCATTCGGTCAGGATGAAAGGCAAATAGACGTTGTGCAAGGAAAGCTTGCACATTAACGAAAACCATTCCAGGATTGAACGGGATGGACAGTACAACAAAAAGGTACCCAGTTACCGACTTGCAGTTACGGGTGGACTACGGCGGATTACACAGCACAACTGTCTGATGACCGATGGACTCCAACAGTGAAGGACTGGTGCCCAAAGGGCCGCAAACGCACACTTGGAAGACCACGGCGCATATGGAACGATGAGCTATATGGATATGGAAGCTTATGACTTAAAAATGGTGCGAGACAGAAGAACGTTGGCATCAAGACTAAACACTGGTGATCCTTGGTAATAAAGAACGAGCTGTCAGTTGTTGTTGCCGATAAGGAACTGCATAGATGTAAATAAATATCAATTTATTTCCTTGCTAGATAACGTCATTTCGTTACTTTTTCGAATGAACGGTTTAAAGCAACAGGTTTCTAGCACTCTGTTGGCTTGTTTATTTATTAACAGTGTTCAGCACTACATACCGATGGAATCATTAAGATAAAATAGAAAGGGAACTGCATGTGTTTAAAAGAAAGAGATAAGGGGGCACTTGAGTGACACGGTCTGCTCTTTCACCCATCCTTGCGAACAAGCTGCCAATGAAATACCAGAAATAGAGTAATGCTATGACATCTCTATATGCCTGAAGTCAGATCATGTATAGTCCAAAACGTCAGAGACTTCATAAATAAGTAACATATCATTATGTGTAATTTCGACAGATGTTTGCAATTTAAATTGCATTTGCTTGTAACGAATTATCTGATTATAGGAATGCCTTCGTTATTTCATACTTAGCTTTTCCTTTTTGGATTTCTGCCAGATCCCTACAACTAATCTTACATTTAAAATGGACATACTCAGTTGAACCTCGCCTTCCAAACAACTCAAAATTTCAGTTGTTGACCCAGATGTGAAGAACCGAACTAAGAAGAAAAAGTCAACGCAAACTGCCAAAACTTTCACCACAGTATCATCTATTCAAAATGGATTTTATAACTAACTCATATCCAACTTTCATTTTTGCACCTGCCGAATGTTATCGCACCTGGAAGGACTGAACACTGGACTTTGGATTAGGGGTGTTCAGAAATTTATTTTTCCAGTTTCGGGGTTTAATTTTATGTCTGCATTCTGAACTTTGCAATTACATAGGTTAAACTTATACGTGGCATAAACGGATGTCACGCAGCGTTTACTACGGTCAGACTTCACCATAACGGAATTTTCATTTCTTCACAAAAGCAACTACCTATATTTCTGCTGCTTGCGTGTGATGATTGATATTTTATATTTCTCTCTGATAGAGATCTGCACATATTAAAATCAGTAAGAATGTGTAATTTCAAGTGACACTGTAAATCCTCGTTATTCAGCTATAAGAGTAATAATTTATGTCTAAATGTTCTGTTTTCTTACCTGCTTTTCAATTCTTGAATCGTTCCTGTACACTGCAGTCGTCCTTTTACCATTATGCCAACTCGACTGCACAACGCTTCGCATTCTTCCATGCTAGAAGGAACATTTAAGTACATAAGAAGATAGGGTGCGACAAATGTGACGATGAACCTATGCGACGTCAGCATCAGTGACCGCCCAGATTTCACGAGTTTCAGCAGGCAGTTCCACAACAAACGCTTAGACGCAGGGTCCATACCCGTACTTGGTTCATCGAGGAAAATAAGTTGAGGCATTCCGCAGAGCGCAATCGCCGTCGACAGTTTGCGCTTATTGCCACCGGAGTATTTGCAGCTTAATCGATCAGCAAACGGCTCAAGGTGCAGAAGCTTTATCAGGTCGTCAACAACCTCAAATGCAAACAGATAGGGTCATGAATGGTCATTTCACAATGGTAAAATTTATAGTACCAATTTCAGTACATTCAGTTACATTTCGAGCAAGTTATCAGGCCTAAATAGTCTTTAGCACAACTCGCTCACTCTAGTCATTCACAAATATACGTAGAAATGACACTTCACAACAAGCGATCACACATGGTCAGCATGTGTGGCCAAAAAGTGTGGATCACACCATCATTGTTCTGAGCAGATGGTTAGGATGACCACTGCTGTGCTCTGTTACGTGAAGCGATGATTTCTGGGAAGATAAGAAACGATATCGAGATTTATAGAATAATAACGAACTGCTGATTTACATATTTGAGCATTCAAACCAATATAATTATGGAAAGAATAGACAACGAGTATATGAAATCTATGAAAATGACTTTTTAAACACATGCCAGCGTCAAACTGTGAACAAATAGAAGTGAATCTACCTTCTGATTCCATGGTTAATAGCCAAAACAACAACAAAAAAACATGTAGATAACGAAGTATCGAAAGTTTCATCCGCAGCGACTTGAATGTTAATTATTCATACTGAGATAACTACTGCCACTTCACTGTTGCGCTGGAGCGTTATTCGAAACAGTACAAAACATAAAACACAATCGAATGCATCTCGATCATAATTCAGACCATCGACCATTCAGAGTCTACAGGGTCACAACGCCGGATTGGCTTATTTACAATTTCCTAGTTTGAATGATCAACCCATGTTCACTTGCCATCGTATTTCAAATGTGGCGCTGTTATGATCCACCAATACTACCCATCAGCGGGTAACGATTTGCTAGGACCTGTGGTGGCCGAATTACGAGATCCATCAACTGGACGCTATATAATAACATGCGGTATGACAGTGGTCTACCGATATCGCTAGGTAAAAGATCATGCTGTAGGCCGTACATGCCTTGCTAAAAGTTATGCTCTCACGGGTGACCATTGCCGCAGTATATGCTGGCAGGTTCGGCCCAGTTGATGGATGGAGCAACTCGGTCATGAAAGATCCCATCGTAACAATGGATGATGAATAGCATGGCTCAGCCATTATGGTCTTCATGTTCGGAGGAGAGACTGCTTGGACTTTGTATAATAGAACGACCACACCATCGTAAGCAGAACTGCGTTATACGACAATGACACGCCCTGCTACCTCATTACCGCCTGGTGATAGATGACATGGCCCAAAAATGTTCCACGTGATCGATGCACAGCGTATTCCTGATAGGGCCAGGGTAAGAAACGTGATGATGGTCGATGGTCAACGTGTATAAAAGAGCCAGTCGTCGTTGAAGGTGTGTGAATTGTGTCATGTAGAGATCCCATAAATCATCCACTGAAGGTAAACTTATTCTATCATGCATCTCATTCACACGACGAAAAATTTGAAAGTTATGGAGTGGATTTCTACTACAGCAAGCCAGCGGCGCAGGTTGCTACTACGATTATCAGTATGGTACTTCCAGTCCGCTGCGTACACTGATGCTTCAGCTGAACGGATGCCGGTCATCGTCTCTATCTCCAGTGCCAAACTGACAGGAGGAAAGTCATTTAGCATCAAAGAATGTCTAATTCTAGAGCATATGTCAGCATCCATTTATTATAGTTCCTGATGATATTTTCCAAGTTATGTAATAGCGGTTTTATTACACTATTATTACAGAGTATTTTTTTACAATTGTAACAAGAAGAATTCTAAATATTTTTAATGATATTAAAATTCAAGTCTTTCAATGGCATACCTGATGTAGGAAAGTCTTTTTTATTCCTCTAATACGAGCGAAAAACATGAGGTTTTCTCGTCCTGTCATTTTTTTACAGAAAGAGTCAAACTGCGGACAGTAACCAACATGTCTTTTAATGTCGGCTGAATCTTGGACGATACTAAAACCGGAATA